GAAGCTACTTTGCTGTGCCTGGAACAGAACTCCTAGGCATCTGCATTTTAATGAGCAAATTAATAAAAATTATAGTATTTCATTCAATTTAATTCAAGACATTTTGCCCAAAACATTGAGTTTTATTTCATATTGGAAGCTCAAAGTGATTTTTTTCACTGTATCGCTCCAAACATAAAAAGAAATCTAATTTTCAGATTCATCAAGGGGGATGAATGCAGGGTACCTTTGCTGTGAATCATTGAACATTTGAAGTAGTTCAGGAGAATTGGTATCCACTGCTGTTATCATGAAATATGAGTGTTCTGTAAAAACAGTGTATGTGATATACATGTCACTAGATGCATATTGGTTTTTATTCACTTATCCATAGTTACCTTAATGAAGAAACAAGAACCTACTCAAGTTATCCTACTGAAAATGACAGTGTATTAAAGGCTCTGAGGCTATATTGTGGAACCAAAGGGCAGAGAATCTAAGACCTTATCAACAACTGCATTTGAGACATGTAAAGAAAACAGATTGCAACCTTCAAGTCTCTCTCCTGTGCATCTCCTGTTTCTCTCTCTCTCTTTGGTCATCTAATTAATTATTTATTCTCTCTGTGCAGATTGGCTTTCTTTGATTTTCCATCCATATAGAAAGGTATTTGCCCCAAAGAATTTATATCTCCTCACCTACATTGACCAGCAGAAACTGTGTCCTCTTAATAGGGGCCTGGGAAAGTGAATCTGATTGGCTATTGAGGGTTGGCGGACCCCCTGGTGGAATAGAGTCTGGCCAAGAGCCAGGTTAAAAGCATGGCTACTAGAGTCCACTGTGTGGTTGGGGACCAGTTCTTAGACAATGAGAGGATTTTGTAAGCTGGGAAGTTACTATAAGGAATCAATCACATTAAATACCTAGAAGGATCAGGGTGTTTCATTGAGTAGCTACCTGGATAAACAGAGATGCTGGGACAGGCAATGTGTTCATTTTAAACCTATAATATCCATGTTTAGTTTTAGAAGACTCTGTGTGTATAACCATAAGTGCCCACAGGCAATGTGTTCAAGAGGATTAAATGGTAAATGACCAATTTATTCAGAGTGATGCTAGCAATTTATATCAAGTTATAAATCTCAAAATCTTGGCCCTGCTTTATACATCTTTGTATTTTAGACTAGCATCTTAGCAACTACTAATTAAATATCATAGTGGAGGAGATGCCGACCACCCAAATTTGTATGTTTTTAAGAATTATATATTTTTTTGCTTCAACCACAGAACTATTTAACATATCAGGTACTCAAAAAATATATATATATATAGTGAATCATGATCTCACTGGGATATATAGAATTTCAGATGCTTTCCAACCATGTTTTCACAACTTCTATCTTTGGTTTGACAAATTAATGCCTTTTAAGTTAAACTTAAAAACACCCATAAACTTTGACTTTTCTTTTTTGAACTCTTGAACAATAAGAAACAGCAATTTTTGGTCCTTAAAAAGAAAAAATAAATGAGTGTCTGAGATATGAGGGAATTCAGAGCCAGCAAGAACACAGGATTATTTTCTGTGGATTTCTGTGGTCCGGACGTATTTGATATTATATGTATTGCCCTTTGACCCAGAATTCCAGCTTTAGTGATTTTCCCCAGGCACTCACAGGTGAGTGCTTAGGATATTCAAGTATAATTTAGCAGATGTAGAATCACCAAGAAATTATGTGGTTATAGTTTATATTTATATGGTTATAGTAGAAGATTTAGCCAATTCAGTCAGATTTAAAGCATCTTAGAATTTAAATTTTTTTATTTGTTCTTTGAGACATTTAAAAATGCATTTTTACCAATTTGGGTGTGGAAATCACACTTTATCTGTTTTAAAGCAGTATTTTCTGGCTGGTGATGAATGGTGTTGCAAAAAAGGTACAAAATACATCAAGAAAATAAACACTGCAATGCCTATGAATAAAGTTATACCTTTCTTTCCCTCTTTTATTTTACTACTATTATAATTCTTAATATATATATTAATTATTGATTTCAGAAAGGAAGGGAGAGGGAGAGATATAGAAACATCCATGATAAAAGAGAGCCATAGATTGGCTGCCTCCTGCACGCTCCTCCACTGGGGATTGAGCCTGAAACTGGGGCATGTGCCCTGATCGGGAATCAAACCTGTGCCCTCCTGGTTCAAAGGTCAATGCTCAATCACTGAGCCATGCTGGCCAGATTCTATTATAGGTTTTATGCTAAAAATCATTTATAGAGCTCATTCTGTTTTGGAGAGATTATCTCTAATATGTATATCATAATATACACTGAGTGGACAGATTATTATGATCTCTGATATGATCTCATAATAATCTGGCCATGCAGTGTATATATCAAGGCTTCCTGTCACATACTGTTTAAAAATCAGTTAGTCACTTTTTCTTTTTGGTTTTCTGGCATGTTGCATGGCTCTATGGTGGGAGTAAAAAAATATAATGCTTTTAAGGATTATAGCATTTACATTTAAGGTGGTCAGGCATTTTTCATGAAATAATACTATTAGGCAGTTTTTAATAAATACCTACTGAATAATGTGTAAAATTGGTAGTTTACGAGTTCAGAAAAGGGGACCACTGGCCTAGAGTAGCCTGGGAAGGACTCGTTGAAGAGAAACAGTGGAATTGTTTTTGGAGGATTTGTTAGCCTTTATTTAGGAGAGAGGCTAACCTAGGTTAGGTGTTCTGGAATGGAAGGCCCAGGCATATTCAGGGAAGAGTAAAGTGGATGATTTTTTTTCTTTTTGTTTTCGTTAATCCTTACCTGAGGATATTTTTCCGTTGATTTTTAGAGAGAGTGGAAGGGAGCCAGAGAGGCAGAGAGAGAGAAACATCACTATGAGAGAGACACCTCAATTGGTTGCCTCCATGCCTTGATTGGGTTGGGGATCAAGCCTGCAGCCAAGGTACATGCCCTTGACCAGAATTGAACTTGTGACCCTTCAATCTCTGTAGACTAACCTTCTATCCACTGAGCCAAAGGGACTAGAGCTAAAGTGGGTGATTTTGACTAGTGTTGGGTTCACTGTAAGGAGAATAAGATACTATTGGAAATACATATTGAGATCGGATGTTTGTACATTGTGAGATGAGTAGCCTTATGGTAATAACAAGGGTTTGATAATGTCTGAAAAAGACTGGAAAAGTAAGAGATGAGAGGCAGAAATTTAAATAGGAAAAACTGAGTTGGTTGCTATCAGAATGGACAAGAAAAGACAAAAATAATAGTCCATAAAGAATGATTAATGGACTTGGGACTAACTCTCTTATGGACACGAAGGATAAAGGAATATCAAAAGACGGTTCTGAGGTTTTAAATCTGGAGAGCAGTAAGAATAAAAAACTATAAGCAAACAAAAAAGAAGGAATTATTGATTTTTTTGGGAGAATGATTTAGTTTTCAGAATTTAGGTTATTTTATCAGTATGTGACTATGTCAGTGAAATATATGATTCCAAATCATATACTGGAGCTTATGAGAGAAATCAGGAGTAAACTACATCAGGGTAAAGGAAATAAATATTTGTGAAGGCCGTTTCTGAAGTTGGAACTTAAATACAAAAGGGAAACAAGATTATAGGTAGGCCATGGGGACCAAAGCAAGATTTTTGTTGAGGAGGTAGAAGTAGTACATATTTATAGATAGGGAAAAGCCAGTGGCTAGAAGTAAACTAACAGTGTTGAGAAGTAATAAATAGGGGAATTTGTTGATGTGGATAAAAAGAGCAGTGATCTTAAAATATTAGGGTTTTAAGGATGCTGGTCCTAGATTCTGGTTAGTCAGTATTTTATTGCACGAGGCCAGTCATTGAATTCTAGGACTAGTAAGTACCTCAGAAAAATTACTTGATCAGTGTATTTCATACTTTGATAGAAACATCCCTTTGTCATATTTGATGTTAAAACCAGTGCATTTGTAGGTGTCTTTCTATGTTATATCAATTTGATTTTCTGGTTTACTAGCCCTCTTTTGATCACAGATTCCTGCAGACTTTATTGGTATTAGTGTCAAATCTACAAATTGAGTCCCTCAGTTGAGTTATTAACATAGAGACCCAATTCAGTAGTCTCCCTGACTACTGGGCAGTTTGAGTGATGTATTAACAGAGATGGTATTTGTCATTATATTACTTTATCATCATGTTGAGTAATATTCCAGTGGCCTTGTAAATAAAAAAATAAAAAAAAAACATTGACCAATCTGTTAACTGCTTTATACTTTCCCAGTATAAATTTTTATTTTGCAGAATATGAAATAAAGTCCATCTACTGCCACTTAGAGCCATTTTTATTGACAGTTTTTATGCTTTTAGTGAGAATAACGAGTCATGGGGCAGAGAGTAAAGGCTCTGGAGTCAACTAGGCCAGCTGTGCTATACTTACAAGACTTAGTCTTGTTTCATTGTTACTTCAGACTGTTTCTCAGAGTAGTTTAAGGTTCACAGCAAAATTGAGGGGAGTGTACAGACATTTCCCAATAACCTTATCCCTCCCATGCATGTAGGTTAGTGTCTAAATACCACTGCTTCTCAGTTTCTTCCTCTCTACCTCATAGGTTTTTGGGTGGAGGAGGATCCTGTTTTTAAAGTGTCTGATAGTTAATAAGTACTCAGTAGTGGGCATGTTCTCATTTTAGTGACATAATGTCTTTAAAGCTTACTTGGGGCACCATTATGTTTATGGAGTACTTTCTAAATGTTTTTTTTTTTTTTTTTTTTTTAATGATAATGCTTACTATGGTCCTCAGACTTTGAATGAATGAATGAATGAATGAATATAAACATGCCTGCAGGAATAAATAGTTACACAGCAGCCCGGAGTCTGTGAAAAGTTTCTAGTTCTGTCTTGGGTAGAATTGCTTGCCTATATGTCTATAAGACTTGGGTATCTTAAGGATTTAAATTTGCTTTTCCTGATAGCACCTCTAAATGAGTATATTATGTTGCTTATCTGATTCTACAGATGCTGTTGACTGAGTACTTGGACATGAAAAATACTCGTACGGCCTCTGAACCATCAGCTCAATTGAGTTACGCCAGCACTGGACGAGAGTTCGCAGCCTTTTTTGCCAAGAAGAAACCTCAAAGGCCGAAAAATTCTCTTTTTAAGTAAGTATCTCCCTGTTCGTTATACAACAGGTGTTAGGAAATGTTAGATCCAGGCAGGACTTGCTGCTTAATTGACAGCCATTTCTTCACCCAGTTATAGTTTTGAAATAATTTATAGGAAGTGAATGTATATTCAACTTGTTATACTTTAATTCTTTGTAAGGGGAAGTGGTCATATTAGAATACCAGCCCTTCCCATTTCTCTGCCTTCATTTCCACTCCAGTAAGAATGGTGATGTTAGTAAGTAGGCTGTGATTCTGCCTATAAATCTTTTTTAAATTAGTAGATAGTCTTTATTGTTTATAGCAATTTTAAAATTTTTAAGAAATTGAACAGCCATTACACTGAGTTTTATTCCCCTCTCCTATAACCTCCTCTATCAACATTTTGCATGAATGTGTTACATTTGTTATACTTGATGAACCAATATTTATATAATTATGAACTGAAGTCCATTGTTTCCATTAGGGTTCACATTTTGTTGTCTATGGTTGTATGTGTTTTTGAGAAATGTATCATGATATAGATCACCATTACAGTCTCATACAAAATAGTTTCACTGCCCTAAACACCCTCATTTTCCACTTGTTTATTCCCACTCCTTTCCCCTGCTCCCTGAACCTTTTTGTTGTCCCTTTGTCTTCTCCAGAATGCCTTTCATAGTTACAGACATATAGTATGTATCCCTTTCAGGCTTTTTTCCACTTAGCAATATGCATTTAAGGTCCTGTCATGTCTTTTGTAGTTCAGTAGATCTCTTTTTATCGCTGAATAATTCCATTGTATGGATGTACCACCATTTTCCCGTTCAGCTATTGAAAGGTGCCTGTTGCTTCCATAAAGCTACTCTAAGCCCTCCTGTGCAGGTTTTTGTGGCCCTGTGAGTGTTCAGCTCATTTGGGTAAATACCCAGGAGCATATGGTAGATCACATGTAACTGTATGACACTGCCAAACTGTCTTCCCAGTGGGCCTGCTCCTCAAATGCTTTTAAAATTAATTTACATTATTGCTTATACATTCATTAAATTTTCCTGCCAGTGACAGTGCCCCTCTGCAAGTTTCCTAGGAGACAAGGATTGGGTCTCTGTCCATGCCTGTAGGAGTCCTTGGCAAGGGCAAGGGTGATCGTCTTAAACGACCTTAGCTCCCTTCTGGGGACGGGTCTCCTTCTGAAGAGGGAGCCACTTCTCCATGTACAGGAAAGAGAACCTCTGAAAAGAGAGGAGGCAGGTGGCAGAACCCCCAGTAGACCTGGAGCTGTGGGGAAGGGAGAGGATAGTGACACCGAGACTGCCTCACATGCTGCCTGCTAGGCTACCCCTCCTCTCCTGTCTCCCCTCTCCAGCTCAACCCGCCAACTAAATGCAGGTGGAGTGCAGAAATCAGATTTCAGGGTTTTTACATTTAATGCTCTCAACCGTCACCCCTGAGACCACACAGCCATTTTTAAACCCTTAGCCAATCTTGAAATTGTGGTACTGGAAAACATAAATTGTTGGAAATGATTGTGAATAATTGTCACATATTTATTATTATTGCATAGAAATAAAAACTCCTCTCTCGCATAGGCCATTGTCTCAGATCTGCCTTTGTTAGTCTGGGTTCCATCCTCAGCGGGCCCTGTGGTCCAGAGCAGATCTCCAGGCTTGAGGACCTCGTGCCTTTGCTGCGAAATAAGGAGGCGAGACTAGGTCATCTCCAGAGCCCCTTTTACTGTAGAATTGTACCAGTCTGTGACTTGTTCCAAACATAAAAGGATTCTGAAGGAAGACATCAGGTCATAAGAATGAGGATTTCGGTGAGCTGTAACCTGTTTTTATCACATCCGTGAAGGACTTTATTGCTCCTTTTAATTGCCCTGAGCCAAGGTTAATTAAGTGTGTTTAAGTTCTCTTATTGTATAATGTGTGCCTCTCCATTCTTTGCTCAAGAGTTTATTTCTTTCCCTTGTCCTTTCTGATCAATAGCTGTCAGCATGCTTTTCGGAGGCCAGCGGCTTCCTTTTCTACTTGACTGGCAGGTGGTGCTTTACTGCACACTGGGCCTTCCTTCTGGCTGTGAGTGTCCTCTTAGTTCTTGGCAGGGTGCGGAGAGAGGATCAAGTAGCCCGAGTGTCCCCCTCAGACTGACATTCAGCTTAGTGCGCATCGTCCTTGTCAGAGGATGGATAAAGGAGGCAGAATTAAGGAAATGATGGCGCTCCCTCCTTGGGGCCAGGAGCCTATTCTGAATCACCGCTGTTCTTCCATTGTGGTGCTGTTTACGTCTCAGTGGCAGCAGTTCTTCCACGGATTTCTCCTGTCAGCCTGGTATTCTGACTTTGAAGATGCTGGGCTGGAAGTGGAATTACTTAGCAGAGGATTTACTGTTTGATAGAGTCACAATTTGAATTTACCTGCAAGTTTCTTTTAAGATTGTGATTTTCAGTGTGTGTGTGTGTGTGTGTGTGTGTGTGTGTGTGTGTTTTGTTTTGTATTATTTTAGATCTATGTTCTATATCATGAACCCTCCCCTCTGAAACAGTTCCGGGTAGGTGTGGGCAAACGCATGTCTGTGTTTGGTATGTTCCTGAGATTTCATGTGGCAGGTGCAGGTCAGAGTCTGGCAGTCCTTTCAAAGCTGTATTGTTCGTGAGGACTTAGCTGCCTTGTTCCTTTGATATGGTTCAGGGGTGGTGAACATCCGGCCCATGGGCCATATAAGTCCCATGAAATAATTTGGTCTGGCACTGTCAAGGCATCAGGGGTGAGTTAATGAAATGCTTGACCAAATATAGCAGACTAATTTTTTTAAAAATATATATTTTATTGATTTTTTACAGAGAGGAAGGGAGAGAGAGAGCTAGAAACGTCGATGAGAGAGAAACATCGACCAGCTGCCTCTTGCACACCCCCTACTGGGAATGTGCCCGCAACTCGGGTACATGCCCTTGACCAGAATCGAACCTGGGACCTTTCAGTCCACAGACTGATGCTCTACCACTGAGCCAAACCGGTTTCGGCTAGCAGGCTAATTTTTAAGTTGATCAGTTTGTATGGCCTGAGTTGTTGTAAAAGTCCATATGTCCCTTGCAGAAAAAAGGTTCCCCACGAATCAGCAGCATTCCTAACATGCCCATTGTCTAATCCTCTAACTGGCTACTGCTCTGAGTAGCCAGGACTTCGGTGTGACAGCTGGCAGCTACCAATAGCTCCTGAGCTGCACAGGCAAAGTTAGAATGACGTTATTAGCTACTCTTTGCTGTGTGTGTAGGGATCCTGGCAGAGGATCTGGAGACCATAGACAGTTGATCAGAGTTGTGCCATCTGAAGTGGATGGTGAGCAGAAGATCCCAATACCATTGTGGAGGAGTGTTAGCCAGGAGCCTGTTCATAAAGGGCCTATAGTGGCATAGCCTGATTGTCCCTGTGTGGCCCATTGCGGGCATCGCAGACTAGAGGAGAGTAATTGGAATCTGTAGCCCACATCGCCTGCTTGGTTATCACCTGACCACTGTTTCCCTGCGTTTCATGCAGGTTTGAATCGTCCTCCCATGCCATTAGCATGAGTGCTTACCTGCGAGAGCAGAGACGGGAGCTCTACAGTCGGAGCGGAGAACTCCAAGGTGGGTGAACAAACTTTTGGGGAGAAATTAGTTTTTTGGAGGAAGACCTGAAGGGTGCAGTGTGTGAAGTTCAGGTCTGAACTTACAGGATTCTTTCAAGGTGGCAAGGGTTTAAAGACTTGATAACCTGCTGCTTCTATCATTTCCCAGCATCTGTTGACAAGCAGCTAAAGCTATCACTATGGCCACACAACTTACACACCTGCCGCCATTCAGGTGGGAGCGCAAAGCAAAAAGAGACACGATTGGTATCTTTTGCTAAAGATGGCAGAGGTGAGTCCAGTCACAGCCTAGGGGAATGCCAGTCCTCTGTGGCTGCCACCATCGCTTATGTTCTCAGTCCCTCCTGGAATATGGCAGGAGTAGCTGAGATTTGGAAAAAGGCAAATTCAGCCTCTGTCGTTATTTAAAGGGAGGAAGGGTGCCTTTAAATAGTACGTTCCAAATAACATAACTTCGATGCACCCAGATGTGACTACTAAACAGGGCTGATCAGAAGAGAAAATAAATAAAGTTAAGTAACAAATCAGGCCAATAGCATTCTCTTCTTTGACAGTCATGGTCAATGTAATCATGGTCAATGTAATCATTCTGGAAAGATCTGTGAGGGCCTGCCAAGTGCAGCACATCCTAGGCTTTGGAAGGGATACAGGTCAAGTGCAAGGAAAGAAAAGAGAATGACTTAGGATCCAGTTCTGAAAACAAGGCATGCATATCAGTAACATTATTAGAAAGTGAATGTTACCAACTGAGTAGATGGTATGCATGCAATTGCTACGGGATATGAGGGAAGAGAATGGTTATTTGAGCTATTTTATTTTATTTATTTTTTTTTTTTATTTTTTTTTTATTTTGAAGTAATATTTAATATTAACATTGTGAGTTATTATCTTTTGCATATCCTAGTTACACATTTCAAACAAATCATCATTTATATTTACAGTATACAGATGCAAAGCATTAATTTCCCACTAAATCATCACTTTCTTAAAATGGTACATGTGATGTTATGAAATTAGCTATTAAGCATTCGAAATAGTAGAAAAGAGGTCCTTTCTTCAGTCTTTTTTTTTTTTTTAAATATATATATATATTTTTGATTTTTTTTTTTTTTGCACCCCCTCCCTTCCTCCCTCACATCCCCTCCCTCCCCAGAGTTTTATGTCCATTGGTTGTACTTATGTGTATGTATAAAAGTCTTTCGGTTGATCTATTATCTCCCCCAGATCTTCCTCCCCTCCCTGCTGTAATTTGACAGTCTGCTTGTTGATATACTATCTTTATATCTATCTTTTGGTTCATCAGTTTATAATGTTCTTTATTATCCACAAATGAGTGAAGTCATGTGGTGTTTTTCTTTCAATGACTGGCTTATTTCACTCAGCATGATGTTCTCCATTTCCATCCAGGTTGCTACAAATGATGAGAATTCCTTCTTTTTTATGGCAGCATAGTATTCCATTGTGTAGATGTACCAAAGTTTTTTGATCCAATCATCTGCTGATGGGCACCTAGGCTGTTTCCAAATTCTAGCTATTGTAGATTGTGCTGCTATGAACATAGGGGTGCATATATCCTTTCTGATTGGTGTTTCTAGTTTCTTGGGATATATTCCTAGGAGTGGGATTACTGGGTCAAATGGGAGTTCCATTTTCAGTTTTTTGAGGAAACTCCACACTGTTCTCCACAGTGGTTGCACCAGTCTGCATTCCCACCAGCAGTGCACGAGGGTTCCCTTTTCTCCACAACCTCGCCAACACCTGTCGTTTGTTGATCTGTTGATGTTGGCCATTCTGACAGGTGTGAGATGGTACCGCATTGTTGTTTTGATTTGCATCTCTCGGATAATTAGTGACTTTGAGCATGTTTTCATGTGCCTTTTGGCCTTCCTTCTGTCTTCTTTTGGAAATATTCTATTTAGGTCCATTGCCCATTTTTTAATTGGATCATTCATCTTCCTTTTATTTAGTTGTATAAGCTGTTTGTAGATGTTGGAGATTAAACCTTTATCAGTGGTAACATTTGCAAATATGTTCTCCCACATCGTGGGCTTTCTTGTTGTTTTGTTGATGGTTTCTTTTGCTGTAAGAAAGCTTTTTATTTTGATGTAGTCCCATTTGTTTATTTTCTCTTTAGCTTCCATTGCCCTAGGGGCAGTATCAGTGAAGAAGTTCTTTTGGCATATGTCTGAGATTTTGCTGCCCGTGGATGCTTCTAGTATTTTTATGGTTTCCCGTCTGATGTTTAAGTCCTGTATCCATTTTGAGTTTACTTTTGTGTATGGTGTAAGTTGGTGATCCAGTTTCATTCTCTTGCATGTATCTGTCCAATTTTCCCAACACCATTTATTGAAGAGACTGTCTTGACTCCATTGTATATTCGTGCCTCCTTTGTCAAATATTAATTGAGCATAGTGATTTGGGTTGATATCTGGGTTCTCGATTCGATTCCATTGATCTATATGTCTGTTTTTGTGCCAGTACCAGGCTGTTTTGAGAACAGTGGCTTTGTAATACAGTTTGAAGTCTGGTATTGAGATCCCTCCTACTTTACTCTTCTTTCTCAGGATTGCTGTGGCTATTCGGGGTCTTTTATTGTTCCAAATGAACTTTTGGAGAGTTCTTTCTAGGTCAGTGAAGTATGCCGTTGGTATTTTAATGGGGAGTGCATTGAATCTATAGATTGCTTTAGGAAGTATGGACATTTTGATGATGTTGATTCTACCAATCCATGAACATGGTATGTTCTTCCATCTGTTTACATCTTCCTCTATCTCTTTTTTCAGTGTCGTGTAGTTTTCCGCATATAGGTCCTTTACTTCCTTAGTTAAATTTATTCCTAGATATCTTAATTTTTTTGGTGCGATGGTAAATGGAATTGCTTTTTTAGTCTCTGTTTCTATAAATTCGCTGTTGGTGTATAGAAATGCCATAGATTTCTTGGCGTTAATTTTGTATCCTGCTACATTGCCAAATTCATTTATTAAGCCAATTAGTTTTTTAATGGAGTCTTTTGGGTTTTTTATGTACAATATCATGTCGTCTGCAAATAAGGATAGCTTTACTTCTTCTTTTCCAATTTGGATGCCTTTTATTTCCTCCTCTTGTCTAATTGCAATGGCTAGTACTTCCAGTACTATGTCAAAGAGGAGTGGCGAAAGTGGGCATCCCTGTCTTGTTCCTGTTCTTAGAGGGAATGGTTTTAGTTTTTGCCCATTGAGTATGATGTTGGCTGTGGGTTTATCATATATAGCTTTTATTATGTTGAGGTATGATCCTTGTACTCCCACCTTGTTGAGAGTTTTTATCAGGAAAGGGTGTTGGATTTTATCAAATGCTTTTTCTGCATCAATTGATATGACTATATGATTTTTATCTTTCAACTTGTTTATGTGATGTATCACGTTTATTGATTTGCGGATATTGTACCATCCTTGCATTCCTGGAATAAATCCTACTTGGTCATGGTGTATGATCTTTGTGATGCTCTGCTGGAGCCGATTTGCTAGAATTTTGTTGAGGATTTTGGCATCTATGTTCATGAGGGATATTGGCCTATAATTCTCTTTCATTGAGTTGTCTTTATCTGGTTTTGGTATTAGGGTGATGCTGGCTTCATAGAAGGAGTTTGGAAGTGTTCCTTCCTCTTGGATTTTTTGGAATAATCTGAGGAGGATAGGTTTTAGTTCTTCCTTGAATGTTTGGTAAAACTCTCCTGTGAAGCCATCTGGCCCTGGGCTTTTGTTTGCTGGAAGTTTTTTGATGACTGTTTCAATTTCTTCCCAAGTCACTGGTCTATTTAGATTTTTAGATTCTTCCTGATTGAGTTTTGGAAGGTTGTATTTTTCTAGGAATATGTCCATTTCCTCCAGGTTGTTCAGTTTATTGGAATAGAGCTGTTCGTAGTATTTTGTAACAATTCTTTGTATTTCGGTGGGATCTGTTGTTATTTCACCTCTTTCATTTCTGATTTTGTTTATTTGGGTCCTCTCTCTTTGTTTCTTGGTTAGCCTGGCTAGGGGTCCATCTATCTTGTTTATTCTTTCAAAGAACCAGCTCTTGGTTTTGTTGATCTTATGTATTGTTTCTTTGGTCTCTATGTCATTTATCTGTGCTCTGATTTTTGTTATTTCCTTCCTTCTGCTTACACTGGGCTTTTCTTGTTGCTCTTTTTCTAACTCTTTGAGTTGTAGAGTTAGCTCATTTGTTACCCTTTTTTCTAGTTTTTTGCAATAGGCTTGTAGGGATATGAACTTCCCTCTCAAAACTGCTTTTGCTGTGTCCCATAGATTTTGGATAGTTGTGTTTTCATTGTCATTTGTTTCCAGGATGTTTTTAATTTCTTCCTTGATTTCTCTGGTAACCCAGTCCTTGTTTAATAGCATGCTGTTTAGTCTCCATGTGTTTGATTTCTTTGGATTTTTTTCGTTGTAGTTAATTTCCAGTTTTATGCCACTATGATCTGAGAAGATGCTTGATATGATTTCTATCTTCTTGAATTTGAAGAGACTTTGCCTATGTCCCAAAATGTGGTCTATCTTTGAGAATGTCCCATGTGCGCTTGAGAAGAATGTATATTCTGTGGCTTTGGGGTGGAATGTTCTGAAGATGTCGATTAATTCCATCTGGTCTAGCGAGTCATTTAGGATTGATATTTCTTTGCTGATTTTTTGTTTAGATGACTTGTCAAAGGGTGACAGTGGGGTATTAAGATCTCCTACTATGATTGTATTGCTATTAATCTCTCCCTTAATGTCCTCCAGCAGTTTTTTTATATATTGGGGTGCTCCCGTATTAGGTGCATATATATTTACCAGGGTTATTTCTTCTTGTTGGATTGCTCCCTTTAGTATTATAAAGTGGCCTTCATTATCTCTTGTTATGTCCTTCACTCTGAGATCTAATTTGTCAGATATAAGTATTGCTACCCCAGCTTTTTTTCCATTTCCATTCGCCTGGAAAACCTTTTTCCATCCCTTCACCCTCAGTCTGTGTGCATCT